TGAGTTTTTTTCCGGATATTTTTCCTGAAACCAAGACTCTCAGTGTTATTTTGTGTATGTTCCCTTTCAACTAACGGATGTCTCCGCTCTAGCGTCGGCTGGCGACCCTAGAGAGTAGTGGCTGTATGACTATTCCTGCTGATGCCAATGGAATTCTTATTAGACGGTAACTGAATTAAAACACTTGTGTCAGTTGCGGCATATTAGTATATATTGATTGGCTTTCATAGTTTGTAGACCTCTCCGGCTAACCTGGAGGTTCCCGGCAATGCGCGCTTTCCGGCCCTATTCAAGGACAGAAGAGAGCTGCATGAAGCCAACGGCTTGAGGTAAGAGTTTCCTCAATGCAGCTAACATACCTCCCCCGCCGCCCGGCATCCTGGGCGCTCAGGTCAGGGCCTGGGGTTGCGGGGGAGGAGGCAGCCTATGTAGTACTTGAGCACTACGTTAGCATGCGGTAGCGCAGGACCCTTCACTGGGCTCTGGCAGGTTGCGTATAAACGTTTGCAAACGTTCTACAAGTACATTAAGAGGTAGGGCATGCAGCAAAGGAAGCTTCGCTGAAGCTTCCCTGCGTGCACACGTGGGGCTGGCTTGTAGGAACAGCCGCAGCGAGGTGCGCTGCAGCCCCATTTCTGGCTGCCTCCTCCCCGCAACACCCAGGCCCTGAGCTCAACGCCCAGGACGCCCAAGGAGAGGGGAAGGATGTCAGGTGGTTTTGGGAAACTCCTGAATTAAGTCTTTACCTACATTGCATTTCGCCTCTGTCCTGCATAAAGGCCAGAGAGCAAGTGTTATAACTACAGCGCAGCAGAAACACCAAAAACAGCAGCTGCAGCAGCAACTTAGTCTCATCAGGATACTTGAATACAAATATCTCTGCCCGCTGTCAACAATTCTTGGACCCCTCCCTCTACTATATAACAGAATAAAGTTAGGGTGTCCCCTCTCTACTATATAACAGAATAAAATTAGGGGGCCCTCACTAAACCCTATCACCGTCACAGACACTCGTAGTCGCTCCGTTGTTGCATATTTAGCATCAAATGCATAACATGCAGAAGCAGCAGCAACAGCAGCAGCAGCAAGTGCAGCAGCAGGACTGCAAGAGCTGCAGAGAGAGACACAGGACGAAGACAGTGAAACAATCGCCCGTCCTCGGGCACTACAAATATCTAAGGAAACCTAAATCGTAGACTCTAAACCCTATGTCCGGACCTAGTTTGTCTTCAGCATCAAATGTGATCTCTAGACGCCGAATGTCTGCAGGCGATTCTAATCGCGAAGGCAAAGTGAGGCCCCTCGCCCTTCTCCAGTGTTAACGACATACCCATGGCCTGCGTAGCAAACTCTAAACCCTAAACCCAAAAGCCTATTTTTGGACGCTGGATGCAGAACCCTTAGGCGACCCCGCTAGGTGCTGCGGCGGGAGAATGGAGGGTTTAGAGTTTAGGGTTTAGGGATTAGGGCGTTTTGAGGAGTTTAATGCTGCTGCTCCGTCTGAGTAAGTGCAGCAGCTCGCAAGGTGTAGGGTGTATTAGGGTTTAGGGCTTCTTAGGGTTACGAGGGTTTATTAGGGTTTAGTAGGGTTTAGGATACAGGTTTTGTTCAAGTACCTCCGGTAGTACTACGATGGCGCTAAAGATGGTAACTGCATATAACAAAGGAAATCGAATTAAAGGCCGCAGGGTCACGGTGGCAAAGAAAGAGGACCTCTACACACCAAAGACAAAGAAAAGACAGAAATGAAGAGGAATATATATATATATATATATATATATATATATATAT